AGGGGAGCAGCAGCTGGAGGCCCCCGGCAGCAGCAGCTGCAGCTGAGTTATGGAGGCCCCCGAAGTCCCCAAAGAGTTGGAAAGCACCGGCAAAGAACCCTCGCAGGACCCAGGGGGGCCCCTCTTGCACCCCACAACATAAGTTTTGTGGCCATCCGAAGGAGCAGCAAACCAGCAGCGCGACTGCACAGCCAGCAGCTCCAGCGCGTCCAGAGAGGGGAACGCAAACCTGGGCTCCTGCGCCAGCAGCGCCTCCTCCGCGGCCCTGCTGTTGCTGCTGCTGCCGCTGCTGCTGCTTTGCGGGCAGCCCTCGTCGCCCTGCTGCAAGTAGTCGACAGTCTCCATGAGAGTCAGAAGGAACTCCAAAAGACAAGTCAAAGTGCTCCCGTGGAGGGCCAGCAGCAAAAGACCATCTAGGGCCTGGGCCACAGCTTCCAGGGCCAGTGTTTCTTTAATGTTTGAAGACTCCTCCAGGGCCTCGCGGCCACTACTGTGTTGCTCTTCGAGCTGCAGCGCGCCTCTGCGCGCCGGTTGCAGCAGCAGCTGCTGCTGCTGCTGCTGCTGCACGCGCGGCCGCGCCTGCCGGCGAGCCACCTGCAGCAGCGTGCGCAGCAAACTCCCCATTTCGCAGTAAGCAGCAGAACCCCTGCAGTAGCTGGGCCCCTGGAGGGCCTCCGCAGCTTCGGCAGCCCCAGGGGCCTGGCAGGGGCCCCCGAAGGCTTGGGGGAGGCCCCTGAGGAGCCTGCCCTTTGCCCCCCGGAGGCAGTCGACTAAGTGCCCGGGCTGCAGCAGCTGCTGCTGCAGCTGCTGCTGGAGCTGCTGCTCCAGCGTCTGCCAGGCCCACAGCGGGCGCCGCCCCTGGGTTCCCGGCTGCTGCCCCACACTCTCCACCAACAAGTCCCAAGCACTTGCTGCTGCTTCTCCGGGCCTTTCGAAGCTTCTCTGGCTCTCCTGGGGACCCCAAAGGGCACCCAAAGACCCCGAAAAGGCCGGCGACTCGTCCGCCAGGGCCCAGGCCCCCAGCCCCCCTTCTGCTGCTTCTTTGCTGCTTTCTCTGCTGCTCTCCAGAGACCCCAGCGACGCTGCTGCCCCGAAAATGCTGCTGAGCCGCTGCTGCAGAGGCAGCAGCGCCCGCGGCACCGCGCAGGCAGGCACGGGGGCCCCCGTTTTGCCCACTGACGCAGCCAGGCAGTCCTCGAGGATGGGGGGGGAGCCCCCTGCTGCTGCTACTGCTGCTGCTGCTGCTGCTGTCTCGGGAGAAGCCCCAGCTGCAAGGAACTTGGAAGCGATTGCGGCAGCGCCCTGCTCAGGAATCAGCAGAGGCTGCGGAGAAAGCCATTCAAGGAACAAGGCGCCTGGGTCATCAGGCGCATCGGCTGCTGTTGCTGCTGCTGCCGCCGTTGCCGCTGCTGCTGTTGCTGCTGCTGCTGCTGCTTCAGCTGGCGAAGACGGCGGCTGCCGTCTGCTGGAGACTTCGGGGGGCCTCCCCTCCCCCAAGGGGCCCCTTGAGCGCAACAAAATGCTCCGCAGCTGCCTCTCTCTCCCCACGAAAAGCCGCAGCAGTCTTTGCAAGTCTGCGGGCTCTGCGAGAGGCTGGGAGAGGATCTGTGGGCCTTCTCGTGGGGCGCCGCCGGGGTAGCGCACAGGTTGCTGCTGCTGCTGCTGCTGCTGCTGGGCCAAGGCCTCGGGGCTGCCGTCTTGGCCTTCCAAGTTCGGCGAAGCCCGCGGCCGAGAAGAAACCCACTGGGCCTCCGAAACAGCCCCAGAGGCATCTCCATCCCCAAAGCTAGGCAGCCTCAGGGGCCCCAGGGGGCCCCTGGGGGCCCCTTCGGCGTGCCCAGGCAAAGGGCCGCAGCAGCTCAGACGCTCGTGACTCGGGGAGGGCCAGGATGAGCCGCGCAAAGAACAAGAAGACACACTCGACACCAACAGACGGGACAGACAAAAGCAGACATGAGTCTCCGCTACCATCTCCACTCCTGAGAGCCCCAGAGGCAACTGCAGCAGCTCCCCCTGGGCCCCCCCGTGCCTCTGGAGGCCCCCGGAGAGGGTCTCGAGTCTGCTGGCTGGGGCCGCGAAGTCCCCAGGGGCTCCCGTCAGCTCCTGCTCGTAACAAGCCAAGGGGGCCCCACGAGGCCCCGGAAGACCCTCAGCTTGGGGGCCCCCGGGGGGCCTCCAGGGGGCCCCTTGGCTGCTGGAAAACCGAGCCCGCTGCCTCCGGCGCTGCTGCATTTCGCTGACTCTTCGCCGGTACCCCCGGAGGATCCGAGAGGCCCCCTCCAAGACTGCAGCCTCAGCCTCCCCCGATAGGGGCCCCAGGGCCCTTGTGCGTCCCAAGAGGGTATAGCAGCTGAAGTCCTGCATTCCCAGGTAGAAGGGGCCCTCGGAGAGGGTCTGGGGCCCCGCAGGGGGCCCACGGACACCCCCGAATCCCGGGGGGCCCCTGCAAGAAGCCCCGGCGGGGGCCCCTCGGGGCCCCCCGCGAGGAGCCCCATGCAGAGGTCGAGACTCGCCCTCCACTCCACCAGCAGCAGAAGGGCTTTTGTAACCAACAGGGGGGCCCCCGGGGTCCATTGTGAAGCAGCAGCGAAGAGGTGCTCGGCCGGACTCTGCGCTGCTCAGCTGCGCTGCAGGAGCTGCTGGGGAGGGGGAGCGCCGGGCTCTTGACTAAAAGCTGAGGGGCCGCAGCAGAGGCAGCGCTGCAGCCATCCCTAAGTGTGAAGGTGGCTCTGTACAGGGGCCCCCGTGGGTCGGCTCCAGCAGTTGGTGGAGGAATCTGCCAGAATCTGGCGCTCCGCGGGGGCAGTTTCGAGAAAAAAGAAAAGACAAAGTTGGTAGACAACGCAGAAAGTCAAAGAGGCGCTGCTGAGGGACTTATTTTGCAGGGAGAGGACGTTTCGCACGGAGGCGCAAAGACGCAGCCACCGAGCGCCGCCGTGGGGGTCGCGGTTTGGGGCTGTCAGCGGCAAAAAATTCGAGCAGATGAGTAGCCAGAATAAAGTGAGACGCTTTGAAGTAGAAAGAACCACATACGGTGGAAGAGAGGCGCAGGTTTAGCTGCGGAAGGCAGCGGAAGTGCAGCAGCAGCGACCGCTGTGCAGATTCAAGTTGAATGTGAAGGCGTCCGCGGGCTCCGGCTGCGGCAAAGGCTCTCGATGAGTTTTTAAAGTATTTCTTTCGCATTTAATGGAACTAAAAGGGTTGTGTTGGGGCCAAAACGGTTTGAGCGCGAGGGTGGACGCCGCGGGCGCTCAGCTGCGGAACCTGAAGGCGGCGAGTGTCACGAGGCGGCCGTGGACTTGTGGAATGTTTCCTTATATGCTCTTTCATCCGTTGACAGAATAAAACCCGAAAAAACCAAAAGGGGCGCCAACGACAACAGACAGAGAGCGCCGGTTTCCACTCGATGCCGCGGCTCTGCTGGCCAGTCCACCCCGACCGGTGGTGCGCTGCAGCCTGCAGCGTTGCCTAGCTAGACACTTTGTAGGCTTCCTCTCGTTCCTAGTTTCGCAGTAGCTTAGATACAATCTGAACTCTTTTTTGGTCTTTGTTTGTTCGCAAATACCCCCTTATTCGCCCAGGATCCGCCTGCCTGTGTGGGGCTGCGGCCCTACGGGCAGACACTGCCGGCAGCTGGCCCAGTACCTCTCTCGCTTCACTGAAAAGCAACTTCTTTTCTGTTTCTCTCCCCGCAAATACTCCGCGTGGTGCTTCTTTTCTTTTGTACGATCTCATTCTGATGCAGCTTTCTGCGCTTCCCGCTCGCCTCCCTGCACAGACACATCCACCCGAAGTCCTCAAGGCTAGACAGCTTCAGCAAGCCCACGGCCGCAGCGAGTTTCCATACAGTTCCAGCCCTTTACGCCCATCCAGCTCAGACTTTGGGGCCCTGCCAGTGCCTGTGGGCTGCAGCTAACTGCCTCGGCTGCTGCAGTTAGTCGGCCGCGGCGGCGCAGCTGCCTGGGGGGCGTTGCACCACCTGTGGCTGCTGCTGCTGCTTCTGCTGGTGCTTCTGCTGCTGCAGCTGCTGCTGCTGAAGCTGCGCAAAACAGGACCACAGCCACGCCCAAAATGCTGCCAGTGCAGCAGGCGAAGCTGCAGGGAGTGCCAGTTTGAAATAGCTCCCTGTTTGCTGCCGCGAAAGCCCGTCAGGGCTGTTGCTGCAGCAGCAGCCAAAAGCCACAGGGCTGCGGCCTTTGTCTCTGGCCCCTAAATGCTGCAACAGCTGCTCTGGGGCAGCAGAAGCAGAGGGGCTGGCACCAGCAGCTGACTGCTGCTGCAGCAGCAAAGCAAATCACTGTAGCTAGAGAAAGCCCAGGGAGGGTTGTTTTACGAAAATTGTTATCTCAGAGAAGCGCAAAGAGAGCACAGCATAGAGGTAAAGAACTAGTTAAGAGGTTTAGTTTCTTTTTGATGAAAATAAAACACTTTCGGGAAAATGAAAGGTCTTTTAGAAAATGAAAGGTCTTTAAAAGCTCCTCTGCAGCATTGATCTGCTAAGGGCCAGCCAGCTGCAGCAAAAGGCTGCTGCCTCAGCTGGAAGCAAAGCGACAAAAGCCCTGACTTTATGGCTGCTACCGTGTCTTTGGAAAGGAAATAAAACTCGGAAATGCATGCATGCAAACCCAGGAGTTGGGAGAGCCTGCATGCATGCTCTCCTGTATTTAAAATATAACTATATTCTCCTTCTACTCCGGCTTAATCTGCTGCTTTCTACAATAGTTGGGGCTTTCAGGCCCGTGTATGCATGCAGCAGCAAACCCAAGCCCCTGGTCTTAAGTTTCCTTCTGCTGATCTCCTGCACAGGAATGTAGCAGCAGCAACGCCAGCAGCTAAGTTCCGGCTAAAACTGAAGCTTGGGGCTGCATGCACAGCCCCAAGAGCTGCTGCAGCTCCCCGGCAGGAGCCCTCTGCCTAGCACCAATGTAGCCTCCCGTTGCCGCTCCTGCTGCTGTTGCCGTTGATCCTGCTGCCGCTGCTGCTGGGAATCCCCCAAGCCCTTCTGCGTGCACTGGCGGGCACCGCAGTGAGTACAAACTTGCTGGAAGAGAACAGAAAAACCGCTGAACTGAAGAGGGCTGGTGCTGCGTGTCTGCCGCAGGCCTTCTTGCTGCTGCTCCTGCTGCTGCTGCTGCTGCTGCTGGCAGCAAACGTGGCGGGGTCCCAATGCTTCCTCAGGACCTCAGGCTGCCAATATTTAAAGAAGCTGCAGCACGTGGTCCTAAGAAAAGGCCTCAAGGCTAGCCGGGGGCTCAGCAGCGCAGCTGCACGTGGGTCTACATAAGCCCTCGCTAAACCCTAGATAAACACTTTCTTTGGTGCAGCTCATTCCAAACCTCTTCCTCAGAGTTTTTGCTTCTTTTCTTCAATTTTTTTGCAAAATTGATTAGACTTATGTCCTCAAATATCCCTCCAAAGCCAGTTTGGCCGCTGCGCTGGCCCGTCCCTAAACCCTAGACTAACCCTCCCTAAACCCTAGATAAACCCTCCTAAACCCTGGTTAAAACATCCTTAAACTCTAGGTAAACCCTCCATAGACCCTAAATAAACCCTCTCTAAAACCTAGCTAAATCCTAGATAAACCCTAGGTTGACTCTCCGCTAAACCTATATAAACACTTCCTATCCCCTAGATGAACCCTGAACAAACCCTCCCACAACCCTAAATAAACCCTAGAGAAAACCTCCTAAAGTGAGGTGAAGCATCCCATAACCCTGGACAAGCCCCGGACAAGCCCTGCCTAGCCCTCGCTAAACCCTAGATTAGCGTTTCCTAAACCCTCGCTAAACCCTAGATAAGTCCTTTAAAAGTCTGTACAAAAACTTTAAGTCTGACCCTGTGGAGGCCAGAAAGGCCACAGAGTTTCGCCTGCGTTTGCTGCCTTGAAAAGAGCATTGTGGCTTCGCATGTAAAGTGCTGCAGCTGTTGCGGAGCTGCTGCAGGGATTCAATTTGCTGCTGCAGCAGCAGCAAACGGGGGCACTGCCAGCAAAAGTAGTGTGAAAGGGCTGCTGCAGAAGGCAAGACTCAGCCTGAGCTCGCAAGAATCGTCCGACACTGCTGCTGCTGCTGCGGCTGCTGCTGCTGCCGCTGCTGCCGCTGCTATTGCTGCAGCTGGATGCACCTACGGTCAGGCAACGGGCAGCAACATCCTAGAAGGCAACAGCTTGTTCTCAGAAGAGAGACACAGCTGCTGCTGCTGCTGCTGCTGCTGCTGCCGGAGCAGCTTCAAAGAGGCAGCGAGGGGTTAGGCTTGAAGGTCTTGGCGGCCTGGCGGGCCCAGGCGTCCGCCTGGAGCACATCCTGCAGCAGCAAACCCACACCAGCAACAGCAGCAGGCAGCAGCAGCAGGTGCAGCAGCAGCGCCAGAAAGCGGGGAGCAGCCTGTTCTAGAGGAGGTGGCACTAGAAAACCTTCCTGAAGCAGCAAAGGCCTGCAGCAGCAGCATAACGAAGCAAAAGGAAGCAAAAGAAAGCAAAAAGAACTCAAAAACAAAGATTGAAAAACCCAGACTTGTACCTCAAGCGAAATGGGCGCTGTGGGGGAAGCAGCAAACTCCGTCTCAGCCAGTTTCAGGACAAGTTTGACAACTTTGGGAATTTCGGTAAAATGAATCTTCTGTTCCAAAAACTGAGACACTGCTTCTTCATTAGCAGCACTTAAAGCTGCTGGAAAAAGACCCCCCCGCTGTCCCGCAGCAAACGCCAGCCCCAGACACTCGAAGGTCTTCCTGCAGCGCAGCCAGCACACCCAAACCCTCAGCAGCAAACCCTCAGCAGCAGCGACGGGACTGCAGCAGCAACTAAGCAGCAGCTGCAACGGGGCAACAGCTGCAACGGGGCAGCAGCAGCAACAGGGCAGCAGCAGCAACTACGCAGCAGCTGCAACTGGGCAGCAGCACGAACTGGTCAGCAGCAGCAACTGGGCAACAGCAGCAACAGGGCAGCAGCAGCAACTAGGCAGCAGCAGCAAGTGCAGTCCTCCGCAGAAGGGTTTGCTGCGCGGCTCGCAGGGGCAGCAGCAGCGCAGGCCGAGGCACCAAGTGCTGCTGCAGCGCTGCTGCAGCACCGCTGCAGCACTGCTGCAGTGCTGCTGCAGCGCTGCTGAGGCGCTGCTGCAGGGCTGCTGCAGTGCTGCTGCAGTGCTGCGCTGCTGCCTACATGTCGGGGGGCTGGAATGTAAGCGGTCCGCACGAAAAGAAGTCCAGGCGTGGCCACTGGGTGCTGCTCGCAACACAGACAGCCGCAGACACCGCCAGCAGCAGCATCAGCAGCAGCAGCAGCAGCAACAGCAGCAGCCCCTCTCTTGGGGACCGAGACAGACGCAGAGACAGACAAAAGGCCAAGAGCAAAGGGAGCAGACAGCTGGTAGCAGAGATCGCAAGGCGAGAGAAGGGCCACAGCAAAGGAGAAGTAGGGGGAAAGCCCAACAACCGCTGCTGCTGCAGCTGCTGCTGCAGCTGCTGCTGCTGCTGCTGCTGCAGCTGCTGCTGCTGTTGCTGCTGCTGCTGCTGGGCTCACGGGAGCCTGTGGGGCCAGGTGAAGGCGTAGGCAATGGGCAGCTTCATGTCGGGCA